GAGGATAAATATTGTCCAGTAGCACATATCATGACAGTTATGAGTGCCATTCTGATATTTTAAAAGTGATGCTGAGGCAGTGATGAGTAATGACAGGCTTTTTGTTTATAAAAAAATCCGGTGTAAAAATGTTCGTGCGCACCAAAAAAAATATCGATATTGCAGCTTTCCCAAACAGCGACTTCTAAGACAATCATTGACATGTGTAAATACATCAGGTTTGATACTATATAATGGCAGTGCGCAGTAATTTACTAGAATATAGCTTCATTCTAATAAAAAATTATTCGCACCGGTAATTCAAAATTAATTCCACAATGATGAAATCGGGGATGGCCAGTGGAGTAGGAGATAGAATGGTGGAGGCACACGAACCCCCATTCAACTTAAAGGTGGGTTAGAATTAAGCCTGGGTTTCATATCAAAAATTGTACACGTGTATCTATCACTCAATTGTACAAATATATGACCGTTTCTGATAGCATAAAAAAAATGATGCTTTATCGTATAGCTCTGTTATGATTATATATCTACCAGTCATCTTGCACAGACATTTGACCGTTGCTGATTGTATGGTATGTTGAAAGTGACACTGTATAATAAAGCTCTACTGGAGGCATTTTGCACAAATGTAGACTTCGCCCGTTTCAAGATGTATTTATAAGGACCCCATCGCTTGTCGTCCATTTTATAAAATACTCGCCTACGCGATAGTATTTGGATACATACAAGTCCTTCCATACAACAAGTTGAGACTTCAATTATTCATAATTGCACACACAAGTACAGTCGAATGATAAACCTATTTGTATTCACCCCACAGAATTGTGGATTGATTCTGGTATGTATAGTGGCAGTCACGCACTGCGGTGAGTTCCCACAGATCATCACAGCGCTCGAAGCATTCCGACTAGTAGGTTGGCAGTCCACTACGGAAGCGATGGATATACTGTACACGAACCTGCTTGCGATTCTAGTGGCCAATAAAAAGGTAAATACTGTCAAATGCCATACCGTACCATTGTGGTTGTCTACACACCTATCAGACGCACCACGCCTTTCATGTGCGACGATAGTAAATGGATAACTCCATCGAATTTGGTGATATGCGACGTACCATTTTCTATAGTATTAAAATAGACTCCGGAGGCGAGTGGGATTGGTTTATTTGTAAATTGGAAGCCGATGTTTAACCTTTTATTTTTGAACATATGGTACATTGCGAACTATACGTGCGCCAGTGGACTACGCAGGATGACGAATTATATGAAACAAGCGAACATGGAAATTACGATCGTGATTATGCCGTAAGAAAAATGCTTATAATTCTGCGGAATGTCGAACCAGAAGAGCTCAAGAGCTCATTTTGTGGCTGTATGAGGACGTGTGGATCCATTATGTTAGCAGTTAAAGACAAAATGGCTCAGGTGTGTTCACCACGGACATACTGAAGTGGCCACACAAAGTGTTTTCGTGACATCATTTAGCGTCGTTATATACATATTTCCATATGAGACCATAGCTATGTTTGTTAGTTTCTGCTACACGTCACTCCACTTGAGTGTGTGGAAATTGTACGTTTGAGGATGGAGGTATTTAGGAAGTATGGATATTTTTTAGTGCAACAAGCTGCACATCACCATCATTCGTAGTACACCTCTCAGTCCGAGGGCATTTATTGGCACTTACGTTCTAACAACTCAAATCTGAGACGGCTTTTCTGCTTTACTTTAGGTTGCTTTAGGAGGTAATGCTTTCGGTCAAACAATAGAAACATACCTCACGCCCTATACGCGTCCAATGCTGATTGAAATGGTAGATCAAGACGCGAAGCTGGCGAAATGGATTCCACTGTTCATCAACGTCGTCGCTCACTCGGTATGATAGACGGCTTTAATACTTGATACATTGTTTGTTTCTAAATAAGTGTGCAAACAGTTAAAAAATCTCAATTTTACCTGAACTACGTGAGACTTGTAGCTTGCAAACGAATGTACACCTACACGTGCGAAAGCACCGCTTTGCTCACGCAAGTCTCTTTGGTTTACTTTGCTTAACGAAATCGTGTTGACTGATATTCTACTCTACTGCTGATTTTGCTATAGGTTGGATATGCTTCGCTATAGTGATGTTCCGAGGTATAGCTCTATTCCAGTTCATCAACATTCTGATCTTTAGGCCAGTGGCGAAATTAGAAGGCCGCAGTGTAGTTGAATGGGCACTTGATGAAGCTGCATCTCTACAAGTTGCGTGTTTACTTTACGTGCTGGCTTCTATCGGGTCGTCGTATACTGCCGTTCTTGCCGACCTACTTCTTGCGCCGGCGCATTTGCTAGAAATCAATTTAGCATATATCACGAGATAAGCTATACGTGCCACAGTAGACCGTCCAGATGGATCAACAGAGTCTCCTTGTAAAATACATGCGTTATTCGCAAAGCCGATATCAAAATAACTAAATACAGTAAATTTTAGTTGTCTTCATATGTTTAGCTATGTAGATTATTGTTGACTAGAAGTATGTACTGTTGTATCAGTTTTCTCTTTCTCGATGTTCGTGTATGTAAATACTTTTTAATTTTTTATAGTGATGTAAATAGTCATACATAGCCCTCAGGCTCTAAGGCTCTAAAGTCTAGATTCTAAACCAATCAATCATAAAATCATATCATTTCGATTAAATTCCAAAGTTACTCTTGGCCTCCTAACCCTTTTTTTCTTCAATTTTTCAGAATAAATTAATTATCACACTTCACAGTTGACAGTTCAGTGGTTCACAGGTTCCTGGATCTCAGGATCTCAGGTCGGATCTTTAAAAAACAAAATATAAAGAAACAAATCCGGCCTGGACTCCTGCCCCCTGGTCAATGGCAATTCTCAAATTCTGGGGGCTGGGCCGCTGGGGTCCTTTGGCCTATTATGGTCTTGAATAGTCAGTAATACCGGAGCCACTCTTACACCTTTAAACCACAGTAGGTCGCCGTGACTCGAATTGAGTTGGTTTTATATGGATGAATCAGTCATTCAACACGTATGGTGACGGAAATAGGAATAGACGTGTCATATATTGATACAAGCAATGCATACCATAACTGGAACGATGTACTATAAATATGGAGCAGGCAAGATTTAAGCAGCAGCCTGTTTTGAAATGCACATAGGCAGAAGCGAAAGAACAAGAAGTCCTGTTCCATTGAGCCGCATAGTTTTCCGAGATCGTTTACGCTCTATGTCTACTAGTGACTATGGGAGCCAAAGTGATACTATACATACCGTCCGCCATCGTGCACAACTAGCGTGTGTGACAGAAAAACATTCATGAATCTATCCAAACACTCTTGTGGTGGTTTTCGTTCATCACTCATCTACTACTCTGTGTAACATTAATGTTATCAAACGAACCTGCTCTACCTCTACAATACGGCGTCGCAAATGATATTTACTGTACTATCGTCTTTGTGGGCATTCCTTGTGGGATCGTGTAAAGCAAACGGAATTGTATTGTATGTACACAATAATCCGTTGGAGTCTTTAATGAATATTGGTATGTTAGTGCCGTGACTACGGGGAGCGGTTCTTTCCATACGGCGTGTGTATCCAATGTGACACACGGATTGTACGGAGAATACACCGACAAACTACGAGCACCCCAAGTGTGTGGCATTACATCAAACTAGTGTGTGTCCATGTTAAATCCGGTGAAAAAGTCTTCTGGCCCTCATGTATATCCTGAATGCTGCCCAATGGCGTGCTACAGTGCTCAGGTAGCCTTCTTCCCGTATGGCGTATTCTTCAATACAGACGTGGCAAACCGATAGAAGTCCTTCACCTCGATATAGGGCGACAGACAGTACAGCTTCTGTTGCATCGGCCGGATTAGATCCCTCTGGGGGATTTCCTTAGACTCGTCCTGATCTGTAAGAGTGAAAGTGAGCGCCCACAGATTAAGGTCAATAGGCTGTTGTGAGTTACAATAGCTGCGTTGTGATCGTCTCTGTGCCCGTGCTACGACCTTTGATAGTACATGGGGTCAGCTTAATACGCCGTGAGTCGAGTTTTGGAGACGCAATCGTCTAATACATCTTGATGTGCCCTGATGTTCCTGGTTTAAACATTGTATTTGAAGGACCTTCTTTGAGTACTTTGGCCTGAAAAGTGGCAATATACAGTCACTTTTGAATGAATTGTACTGGAATATCACAATGTGAGAGAATTTTAGAGACGCAATCGTCCGATACATCTTGATGTACTCTGATGTTTCTGGGTAAGACAATGTATTCAAAAGACTTTTTCTGACTATTTTGGCCTGAAAAGTGGCAGAGGATTGCTATACAGTCACTTTTGTATAAATGGTACTGAAATAACAATTTGAGAGAGTAGATAGCATAAGATCTACTGGCGACTTTTAGACATGTGTTTACAATTAAAAACACGTATATCTACCACCGAGGGAACGTCGAAAAGAAAAAGGGGTTGGAATGTCAGCCTGCATAAGACCGTACTTTCGGATAACACCAAATATAGCTACTTCCGGCAGAACAGAAACCAGGCAGAGATGCATACATCCATACACAGCACATAACATAGATGCATTTTCCCTCATGTGCTTGTATACACATGTGCTGTAGGGTCACCACCACTACAGCCTAGTGATGATTCTATCTATTGTTTTAGTCACCTGGGGGTTCAGGAGTAAACCGTAGAGGTGTGATAGAGTTTTGAATAAACCATTTAGGTAACAATAACCCAGCTGTATATAACCACACAAGAAACCTACTTTTGAAACTGAACAGGGTACTCTTCTGCCACGCATCCTGCACAGCCATAGCGTGTTTTCCGTTCTGCAGCGCCTGTTGTAGTCGACTCGCTGCAAGACTGGATAACTGTACTTCGGCATCCTAATTTGCGGATAAGCCGGTGACATACACGTAAAGTAGTACAAGTTAATTGTATGTAGTGTGTAGGTAGCATGTATACGTACATACCTATACAATGCATTGGTATATATGCATATGACGGGAAGAAGAATTGAACCTCCTCAATGTGAAGACCAATGCAAGAAAGACACGACCAGTTTATGATACCAGAACTAGACGGCATACCTGGCCTGCCAGCTTTGCACTCTCATTGAATCCGGCAAAGAGTTTCTCGAAACTCGCCGCATTCATTTGATTGAGATGGAGCAGTCTGTACTCCATCACTGCAATGGATTGATGGCTGAAAAGATAGAGAAGAAGCACGTGCGATTAGCATATGATGCATCTGACGATACACACTCAGCTACACATGTGAATCTAAATAC